TTTTCTGAACATGTTCCTTGAAACGGCAGAGCGCGCTGTTGATCCCAGGTGCATCGATGCTTCGTTTTTGCAGAGTGTTGTATAGAACATCCACTTCTGGCATAAGCAACGAAAAAAACTCCAGGAGCTGCATAAATGCTCGGTCCCGCAGTTTCTTTGACAGGCCGTATGCCTCACTTATGGTGACCGCATCCCATCCTGGTTGTGCGCGTATATGCTTCATACACTGAAGTAGTGCTTCTCGGGTCTCCCAAACCGCGTTCACAGTTCTGCTTTTAAAGTTCCATCTCACAGCCGGTGGCCGTGGGATGCGTCTCTGTGTTGCCTCTGCAAGAGCTGCAACACGTTTTGGAGCACCGGAGAAAAAAGTGGAAAAAGCAGTTAGATCTGCAAAAAACACCTTCAGGATGCTCATCCTTGCTGAACACAGTTGCTGCAGGGTCAGGTTCAGTTGGTGGGCGTAGCAGTGAACAAACTGAGCGTTTGGGTACGTCTCCTTCATCACCGTCTGTACCCCGCGCACGTTACCGCTCATGACGGCCGCCCCGTCATAGGTCTGAGCGATTAGCTTTTCTTTCAGCTTCAGGGGTTCCAGAACAGCCTTGATGCTGTTAGAGAGACCTACACCAGTTTTGTCCTTTACTTCCACAAACTCCAAAAAACGCTCTGTAACTGTGAGGTCAGGCATAATGTATCGCAGCACAATCACCATTTGCGATTTACAGGAGACATCGGTTGTCTCGTCGGCCTGAACGGCAACAAATGATGTGTTGTCCACTTGCTTGGCTATTTCCTCCCTGTACACATCATACATGCAGTCCAAGAGTTAATTCTGTATGGTGCTTGATGTCCCTTTGAAAACAAGCTGAGCTTCGTAGTGCCGTTGAAGCCTGGAATCGCCCTCACACATTGTCTCGAAAATTGACCTGAATATCCCTGGATTCAGAGAGTCCGCCGACTCGTTGTGGCCCCGCAGTGCTGTCTCACATTTCCCACACAGTTTAATACAGGTGATGATCCGACCAAGCACGTACCTGTTTTCTTCCACCTTCCTATTATGAGAATCAATGCCGCGTCTGTAGGCGCTGTCAATCTGAGCTGCAACATTCACCCTTCCAAGTAATCCCAATTTTACGGCATTTTCCAAATGACTGTTGCTGCTCTCATGCTTCATTGTCCTCTCCGAAAGATGCTTTAAGTCCTTGTAACCTGTCCTCGACCAAGTACCTTGATCTTCACCAAAAAGCAGGCAAGGAAAGCAAAAGAGGGAATTCTTCTGGATGCTCGCCGTTAGCCATTTATTTTTAGCAAACCACTCAGCGTTAAACCCACGTTTAACTTTGCCCGCAGTCTGGACCATTTGGAAATCCGGTGGATGGTGGGCACCGAGGCGCTTTACCTCCAGTTTCTCTCCGAGACTAAGTGTCTCAAATGTGTGCTCCAGTAAATGGTCAACTTCATTCATTTTCTTTCAGTTTTTTACTTCTTTTAATCGCTGGTGATGTTAGCTATATGCTGCTCTCTCGTCTCCTCTTCAAACTACACGTGACGTTTCGCAGCACTGCACACATGAGTACTTACAGCAAATCAATTCTGAATTATGTGAGATGACGTATGGTGGGGATGGGAGCACTATGCCCCTACGGTCATTATTTTTTTGCCACACACATTAAATAGAAAAATACTCTGAGCATGCGCAGTGTAGTTTTTACAATCACCGTTCACTTAGACAGGGAGAGGGAGGGGCAGGATCGGGTTTTGTCCCACATGGCTCTAAACAGCTCAAAACGGCACTCTAGACACTAATTACACGTGGGTTTGCTATCCTGGCTCCAAGATGGTGGAATGAGCTCCCCATTGACATCAGGACGGCAGATAGCTTGCACATCTTCCGGCGCAAACTGAAAACTCATCTCTTTCGACTCCACTTCGAGCGTTAGAACGATTAACGAAGCACTTTTATACTAATAAAGGACTGGATTATCTAAAGCCAGTTGAGTAGCACTTGAAATGTTTGGCTCTATGAAACCTGATATACTTATATGATTCTGTTTTCTTCAAGGTTGTGTCTTCCTGGTCGAATGTACTTATTGTAAGTCGCTTTGGATAAAAGCGTCAGCTAAATGCAATGTAATGTAATGTAATGTAATTAGAAGAACACAGACTAAAACAGAAATGTACAGACGAATCAGATTATTAAACATGACCTTAAAATATATTGTATATGTTTTTTTATTTATTTTTTAGTATTTTTTTGTAATCATTATTTGTAATACTTTCTTCTGACACTAGGTGGGGCTGTGCCCCACCTGCCCCTAATGACCCGCCGCCACTGACAGTACTACAGTCAGATACTACCATATTGTAAACATCACAGTAACAGTACTACAGTCAGATACTACCATATTGTGAACATCACAGTAACAGTACTACAGTCAGATACTACCATATTGTGAACATCACAGTAACAGTACTACAGTCAGATACTACCATATTGTAAACATCACAGTAACAGTACTACAGTCAGATACTACCATATTGTAAACATCACAGTAACAGTACTACAGTCAGATACTACCATATTGTAAACATCACAGTAACAGTACTACAGTCAGATACTACCATATTGTAAACATCACAGTAACAGTACTACAGTCAGATACTACCATATTGTAAACATCACAGTAACAGTACTACAGTCAGATACTACCATATTGTGAACATCACAGTAACAGTACTACAGTCAGATACTACCATATTGTAAACATCACAGTAACAGTACTACAGTCAGATACTACCATATTGTAAACATCACAGTAACAGTACTACAGTCAGATACTACCATATTGTAAACATCACAGTAACAGTACTACAGTCAGATACTACCATATTGTAAACATCACAGTAACAGTACTACAGTCAGATACTACCATATTGTGAACATCACAGTAACAGTACTACAGTCAGATACTACCATATTGTGAACATCACAGTAACAGTACTACAGTCAGATACTACCATATTGTGAACATCACAGTAACAGTACTACAGTCAGATACTACCATATTGTGAACATCACAGTAACAGTACTACAGTCAGATACTACCATATTGTGAACATCACAGTAACAGTACTACAGTCAGATACTACCATATTGTGAACATCACAGTAACAGTACTACAGTCAGATACTACCATATTGTGAACATCACAGTAACAGTACTACAGTCAGATACTACCATATTGTGAACATCACAGTAACAGTACTACAGTCAGATACTACCATATTGTAACATCACAGTAACAGTACTACAGTCAGATACTACCATATTGTGAACATCACAGTAACAGTACTACAGTCAGATACTACCATATTGTGAACATCACAGTAACAGTACTACAGTCAGATACTACCATATTGTGAACATCACAGTAACAATACTAACAGTCCAGATACTACCATATTGTAAACATCACAGTAACTGTACTACAGTCAGATACTACCATATTGTAAACATCACAGTAACAGTACTACAGTCAGATACTACCATATTGTGAACATCACAGTAACAGTACTACAGTCAGATACTACCATATTGTGAACATCACAGTAACTGTACTACAGTCAGATACTACCATATTGTGAAACATCAAAGTAACAGTACTACAGTCAGATACTACCATATTGTGAACATCACAGTAACAGTACTACAGTCAGATACTACCATATTGTGAACATCACAGTAACAGTACTACAGTCAGATACTACCATATTGTGAACATCACAGTAACAGTACTACAGTCAGATACTATCATATTGTAAACATCACAGTAACAGTACTACAGTCAGATACTACCATATTGTGAACATCACAGTAACAGTACTACAGTCAGATACTACCATATTGTGAACATCACAGTAACAGTACTACAGTCAGATACTACCATATTGTAAACATCACAGTAACAGTACTACAGTCAGATACTACCATATTGTGAACATCACAGTAACAGTACTACAGTCAGATACTACCATATTGTAAACATCACAGTAACAGTACTACAGTCAGATACTACCATATTGTGAACATCACAGTAACAGTACTACAGTCAGATACTACCATATTGTGAACATCACAGTAACAGTACTACAGTCAGATACTACCATATTGTAAACATCACAGTAACAGTACTACAGTCAGATACTACCATATTGTAAACATCACAGTAACAGTACTACAGTCAGATACTACCATATTGTAAACATCACAGTAACAGTACTACAGTCAGATACTACCATATTGTGAACATCACAGTAACAGTACTACTGTCAGATACTACCATATTGTGAACATCACAGTAACAGTACTACTGTCAGATACTACCATATTGTGAACATCACAGTAACAGTACTACAGTCAGATACTACCATATTGTAAACATCAAAGTAACAGTACTACAGTCAGATACTACCATATTGTAAACATCACAGTAACAGTACTACAGTCAGATACTACCATATTGTGAACATCACAGTAACAGTACTACAGTCAGATACTACCATATTGTGAACATCAAAGTAACAGTACTACAGTCAGATACTACCATATTGTAAACATCACAGTAACAGTACTACAGTCAGATACTACCATATTGTGAACATCACAGTAACAGTACTACAGTCAGATACTACCATATTGTGAACATCACAGTAACAGTACTACTGTCAGATACTACCATATTGTGAACATCAAAGTAACAGTACTACAGTCAGATACTACCATATTGTGAACATCACAGTAACAGTACTACAGTCAGATACTACCATATTGTGAACATCAAAGTAACAGTACTACAGTCAGATACTACCATATTGTGAACATCACAGTAACAGTACTACTGTCAGATACTACCATATTGTGAACATCACAGTAACAGTACTACTGTCAGATACTACCATATTGTGAACATCACAGTAACAGTACTACAGTCATACTACCATATTGTGAACATCACAGTAACAGTACTACAGTCAGATACTACCATATTGTGAACATCACAGTAACAGTACTACAGTCAGATACTACCATATTGTAAACATCACAGTAACAGTACTACAGTCAGATACTACCATATTGTGAACATCACAGTAACAGTACTACTGTCAGACACTACTCTTCCATCACATGGTTACGATCATCCATCGTCAGGCATTGCTCCAAGGATCTCATGTGAGGGCGGGCCACACTGATGCATGCTGGGAAATCAGAAGGATCTGAAGAACAGCAAGAGAACGTTTCAGGAAGTGTATTTAAAGTAATACAAAGTAGTATAAATTAGTATAAAGTAGTATAACGCATTAGAAGGTAGTATATAAATAGTATAAGGTATTACTACAGCAATGAGAGATCAGACCTGAGGAGTCCTTCAGCAGCTTCTCTCTGACCGCTGCACTCAGATCAGAAAACACTGCCTCCTCCAGCCTGTCTGCATCCACCTGCACACACACACACACACACACACACACACACACACACACACACACACACACACACACACACACACACACACACACACACACACACATTAGAAGGAAACCACTTTCCACTAGCTTTACAAAGATGTTTTGAATATCAAAAAATCTATTTTGAGCCATACAACACAAATCCCACTTCAAATGTCCAATACACACATCACAACTCAAAATACAACAACCTGACACCATGCTTAATTATGAGGACAGCAGATAATGAGCTGCATAAGCCCCGCCCATGACACAATGGTTATTTGTGAGGACAGTAGCTATACAACACACAAACATGTCACTGAAGTGTATTAAAGGGACAAACATGATTAAATGGAACATAACTTTACACAGACAAGTGTTGGATTGTGCATTACAAGAACAAACCTTTTATAAACGGACAATGTATACAGCATAGGAATACCTGATTTGTGATGTAATATTTTAATAGACAATATAGTGCACCATAGATATATAGCTTAAAAGTATGTTAATGTGTTTGGTTATTGCTTGCCTCCTGTTTGCAATCTGTTGTTTTCATGCAAATGTAGAACCACATTCTAATACTCTCCAGTGGTATACTACAAGCAGGTCTCCCGAGACGAATTCAATCCATTTGCAAGTAAATGCTTATATTTGCAGCACTGCTAATTGCAATTACATCATCGATATGAAAAGAACCGATAACCATTTTATAGCAAAGTGACCGAACTGGTTTATCACTAATACAAAATGCTATTTGCCCTACAAGACTGCTCATCTACTGGAGCATTACCTTTCAAAAGCTGATACAAAAGGACACATGGCACAGTGAACAATGAGCCAAGTTTAATGGTTATTTTCACATAACATTTTCTCACATGAAAATTGAGCTAAGACTAAATATTTATTATTTGAAACATATAACTCTCCTTCCAGCATTACGTTGGTACGACAGAGGATTAGGGCCACACAAAAGAAAAGATAGAAGAATAAAGTCATAATTACGAGATTAAAGTCGCTATGTTCGGAGAATAAAGATGAAATTATCCCGGGGGCTGAGGGGTCGTTGCAGCAGATCTTCAAGGAAGTTATATTGACAGATTGGAACTGGAACGGATCAATAACTCATAAACAAAACGTTGCTAAAACACAAACTAACTACCGTAATAAGGTAAACAACTATCCACAATCCAATTGAATCAAAACAACCTCACACCCGCCGCCCTCTGAGCTGGACACATCACACAGGTGTCTGTCTGCAGCCGAAGGAGAGAGGAGGGGTCAGGGACCGTCTACAAAGTGCAACACTGAAAAAAATACTGCAAATAAACTAAAACCACCTATTTTGTCAAAGTTGCATGTGTAGTTTAAGCAACAGTATATTATTGTGTGATTTAAAATGTGATGTTTTATAGCTTTATAACAGAGGAGTTATTGAGTATATCTTTATTCAGTGTTGCACTTCGTAGACGGTCCCTGACCCCTCCTCTCTCCTCCAGCTGCAGACAGACACCTGTGTGATGTGTCCAGCTCAGAGGGCGGCGGGTGTGAAGTTGTTTTGATGAAATTGGATTGTGGATAGTTGTTTACATTATTACGGTAGTTAGTTTGTGTTTTAGCAACGTTTTGTTTATTAGTGTTTGATCCGTGAAGTTCCAATCCTTCAATATAACTATCTGCTGCAACGACCCCTGAGCCCCCGGAATGATTTCATCTTTATTCTCCTAACATAACAGCTTTAATCTCATAATTATCCTTATAATAAAACATTGCTCCTACATGTAACATAATAATGAAGTTGAACTGTGAACTGTCCTCACTGCATGTTCCATTAAATGTCATCATCTTTTGTGTAGCAGTGCTTTTCTCTTCTGAGTCGTTTCTTGGCTCCTGACGAAGTCTCTAATATTTTTGCAAAGAGCGACCAGCCAGAATAGGATGCTCTGCAGCTTTCACTGTCTGCAGTCTATCATCGTGGCCACTTTCCCCTTAGTGTGCATTAAAGTGTCTCAAAACTGCTTCTGTTTTTGCATCCTCCTGGGATTCCTCTCCACAGCATTTCAAGAGACTCTACAAACAGAAAAAGAGATCAGTCAATGGTAACCACGTCAACACGTATTTTATTTAAGATGTATTATGTTACTTACTAAAACTATAACTACAAATGGGTTTGGGATGAAGCCATCGAACTGTCTTTCCGGCTTTCCTTCTTCCAATGTATGATATTGTGCTGGTTCAAATGCTAATACTTGCTCTTTGCCATATTTAAACATCTGTAAGTCTAACTGTGCAGAGCTTACAGGAATGATTCTTTTTACTTAAGCAGCTTAAAGTTAGTATTTGACATAATAATAGTACTTACAGGATCAAGTTTTCTGAGACTTGTATTTCGTCCTCACAATGTTTTTAAATGACTTAACAGGGAAAAGACGCATGTAACAATATAGTTTCAGGAAACTATATTCTGTTAATTTTTGGTCATGATAAAGACTCAGTCATCATTGTAAAATTAACCCCGTCGAGATGCAGCACTCAGACGCATGATAGGAACTCATTTCTCAATCATTAATGCTTTTGCTGTAAGCACTATCCATCAAGTCTGAGCAAACCAGAAGCACACAGTCCTCTGAAGAAGATGACATTACATTTTGTGTCAAGCTATTTATAAAACAAGTCTTAATGTAGTGAAATGAACAACATATAAAAGTCTTAATAACTCACCTGTGTAATGTCATCATAGTGGGACTCAGATGTCATGGCAGCATCTTCATGCAGAGTCTCTGCCTCAGTAGAAATCTTGTGGATGAAGAAGGACCAAGTTTAATCACTAGACATCCAGAGTAGTACACAAATGCTTTACTGGCTCTTGTTGTGAGTTAACAACACAGTCAGGTAGAAAGACACTGATTATAGTATTTAATATCTAAAGAGTATGATCATTCAGTTTAACGTTAAGAAGAAAAACAGCATTGACACACAGTCCTCTTAGTGTCTAAAGCGGTCCAGTAGAGTGATACACAGGACCTGTGTATCGAACCTCAGCATTCAAATCCAGTCTTCATGGTTTATAACTGGAAATAAACATGTAACTAATACGAACAATGAGTTGTGGTTAACTCACCTGTGTAATGTCATCATAGTGGGACTCGGATGTCATGGCAGCATCTTCATGCAGAGTCTCTGCCTCAGTGGAAATCTTGTGGATGAATATTGCACTTGAACTGTTTTGGCTCTATGAAAGCTGATGTACTTATATGATTCTGTTTTTTTCAACTTTGTATCTTGTTGGTCGAATGCACTTATTGTAAGTCGCTTTGGATAAAAGCGTCAGCTAAATGTGATGTAATGTAATGTAACTATATAGCGAGTACGGAGAAAACAATACAGTTGCTACATAAGCAGTAGAGCCGATAACGCAGTGATTATAACACAACTCCACATTAATGTACATATGTAGTAATGTTACGTAACATTAACCAGTACCCATACATTTTCCACCACATTTTAGCTGACTATCCGTTACTATCATTGACCGTCATAACAGCGGCACAAGCCGTTCTTCTGTTGTTGTTTTATACAGGCTTGTCTGATTATCAGCTGTTATTAATACTTAGGCTAAACATGTTGTTATATCAGAACAGCACAAGTTAGATTATATTGAAAATACGCCGGTACAGCAAAAGCAGCTTGTTATTGATCAGCGAGACGTCTGCGGTGGCTAAGCTATCACTCTCCAGAAACTCTTTTCAGTGCTATATTACCAAACAGTGTACATTTAAAGCTAACAAACATGTGAATGTATTGGGGAATATGTATCAGGAGACGTTGCTTGTGTGACAGTCAGACAGCGAATTATTCCTCTCCAGTTAGCAAACGGTAGCTGAAACGCCGGTGGAGCACGGCCGTCGGCAAATGCTACTTAAATAGTGGTAAACAATGTACCACGTCACTCTGGATAACAGTATTAAAGCATAAACTGTATGTACAAAGGTGCACAAGTTGTTCAATCATGCTTTGAATTAGGATTTATATATAAATGTCTCTATCTGCACAAATGTGGTTTATTTCTAAAAATGTTTTTTATCCACACAAGAATGTTTGTAATAGATATCCACAAGTATTTTAATTAAAGTGTTAGCAATTTTCATTAAAGATATATTTTGTGTTATACATAAACTATTCAACCTGCATTCACAAACTCACCTTTTTCATGTATGAAATGCAGAGCACTTTATACATGAAAAGCAATACATATTCATGTGTTGATAAAAAATGTGGATAATGTGGAATTTTTCAGATTTATATAAAACAATACACATTTATGTGTGCAATGATGTGTGCGGAGAGAGATATGTATATCCTGATTTTACATTTCTGAACCATTTTGTGAGCATTTATTCATATTGAAGGACTAATTTGACTAAACAAAATCCACATTTTTACTAAGGGCACAAGGTAGAGTACTGTATGTTGGGCATGCATTTTTATATCCAATAACAATAATAATTAATGTTAATAATAAACAATTACATTTGACAATGGAAGTTATGTAATATCCCCGCAGTTAAGATCTTGAGCAGTCTTGGAATAAATTCAGCCTTGTCTAAAAACGAAACAATACAATGGTAAAATGCAGTCAATTCAAAGACCTCAAAAAAGTGGTCTTGAGACAAAGACCGATATGGACTCCTAAAACACTGAGTACCTTAAAGTATATTATCAGATAAAAGCTACAATAGAGGTGCAATGAAATTATAGAAATATTAGACATAATGATATAATATAGTATTAAACAAAAGCCTGATAATTACATCTCTAAACTGCAATGAAATGTAGGTAGTATTAGACATAATAATAATAATAATATTAATAACATAATAATAATATTAATTATTATTACTATGTTATTCTTATTCTTATTACACACACAACATTTTTCACAGAAACATGAATTGTCAGGACCATCCGGCAGTCAGCCAATCAGAGCTCCTTCTGTGTGAATATTCATGAGCGGGTGCAATACCAAAAACCAGCTGTATGAGCGCTGTTCTGACACACAGAAAATACACAATTTCTGGTTTTTGTGGATAAAAAGGTCTTTTTTGTGTGTATTTAACCTTTCTACACCGATAGAAATACTTCTAACATGCGCACAGACAGACAGACAGACAGACAGACAGACAGACAGACAGACAGACAGACAGACAGACAGACAGACAGACAGACAGACAGACAGACAGACAGACAGACAGACAGACAGACAGACAGACAGACAGACAGACAGACAGACAGACACACACACACACTCAGGTGTATCAGGTGTACATATGTCAGCAGGTGTAGCAGGTATAGCGGGTCTACCTGTGTCAGCACGTGTAGCTGGTTGTAGTATCTGCTGACGGAGGTGATGTCTCTGTGGAAGGAGTCCAGGCGTCTCCTCAGGGCGGTAATGTTATCTCCCAGAAGGCCGAGCTGCGCGGCTCGTTGCTGCAGACGGAAGTGCAGCGTCTGATTGGAGCAGATTAGCAGCAGCACCAGGTCAGGAGAGCCAATCTGAAACAGAATCTGCACTGTGACCCAGAACTCCAGAACTCAACCTCAAGACACACTGCAACAGGACCAAAAACAGGACACACTGCAACAGGACCAAGAACAGGACACACTGCAACAGGACCAAGAACAGGACACACTGTTCAGGACCAAGAACAGGACACACTGCAGCAGGACCAAGAACAGGACACACTGTTCAGGACCAAGAACAGGACACACTGCAGCAGGACCAAGAACAGGACACACTGCAACAGGATCAAGAACAGGACACACTGCAGCAGGACCAAGAACAGGACACACTGTTCAGGACCAAGAACAGGACACACTGCAGCAGGACCAAGAACAGGACACACTGCAACAGGATCAAGAACAGGACACACTGCAGCAGGACCAAGAACAGGACAAACTGTTCAGGACCAAGAACAGGACACACTGCAACAGGACTAAGAACAGGACACACTGCAACAGGACCAAGAACAGGACACACTGCAGCAGGACCAAGAACAAGACACACTGCAACAGGACCAAGAACAGGACACACTGCAGCAGGACCAAGAACAGGACAAACTGTTCAGGACCAAGAACAGGACACACTGCAACAGGACCCAAGAACAGGACACACTGCAACAGGACCAAGAACAGGACACACTGCAGGACCAAGAACAGGACAAACTGTTCAGGACCAAGAACAGGACACACTGCAACAGGAACCAAGAACAGGACACACTGCATCAGGACTAGAACAAGACACACTGCAACAGACCAAGAACAGGACACACTGCAGCAGGACCAAGAACAGGACAAACTGTTCAGGACCAAGAACAGGACACACTGCAACAGGACCAAGAACAGGACACACTGCAACAGGACTAAGAACAGGACACACTGCAACAGGACCAAGAAAAGGACACACTGCAACAGGACCAAGAACAGGACACACTGCAACAGGACCAAGAACAGGACACACTGCAGCAGGACCAAGAACAGGACACACTGCAGCAGGACCAAGAACAGGACACACTGCAACAGGACCAAGAACAGGACACACTGCAGCAGGACCAAGAACAGGACACACTGCAACAGGACCAAGAACAGGACACACTGTTCAGGACCAAGAACAGGACACACTGCAGCAGGACCAAGAACAGGACACACTGCAACAGGATCAAGAACAGGACACACTGCAGCAGGACCAAGAACAGGACAAACTGTTCAGGACCAAGAACAGGACACACTGCAACAGGACTAAGAACAGGACACACTGCAACAGGACCAAGAACAGGACACACTGCAGCAGGACCAAGAACAGGACACACTGCAGCAGGACCAAGAACAAGACACACTGCACAGGATCAAGAACAGGACACACTGCAGCAGGACCAAGAACAGGACAAACTGTTCAGGACCAAGAACAGGACACACTGCAACAGGACTAAGAACAGGACACACTGCAACAGGACCAAGAACAGGACACACTGCAGCAGGACCAAGAACAAGACACACTGCAACAGGACCAAGAACAGGACACACTGCAGCAGGACCAAGAACAGGACAAACTGTTCAGGACCAAGAACAGGACACACTGCAACAGGACCAAGAACAGGACACACTGCAACAGGACCAAGAACAGGACACACTGCAGCAGGACCAAGAACAGGACAAACTGTTCAGGACCAAGAACAGGACACACTGCAACAGGACCAAGAACAGGACACACTGCAGCAGGACTAAGAACAAGACACACTGCAACAGGACCAAGAACAGGACACACTGCAGCAGGACCAAGAACAGGACAAACTGTTCAGGACCAAGAACAGGACACACTGCAACAGGACCAAGAACAGGACACACTGCAACAGGACTAAGAACAGGACACACTGCAACAGGACCAAGAAAAGGACACACTGCAACAGGACCAAGAACAGGACACACTGCAACAGGACCAAGAACAGGACACACTGCAGCAGGACCAAGAACAGGACACACTGCAGCAGGACCAAGAACAGGACACACTGCAACAGGACCAAGAACAGGACACACTGCAGCAGGACCAAGAACAGGACACACTGCAACAGGACCAAGAACAGGACACACTGCAACAGGACCAAGAACAGGACACACTGCAACAGGACCAAGAACAGGACAAACTGCAACAGGACCAAGAACAGGACACACTGCAACAGGACTAAGAACAGGACACACTGCAACAGGACCAAGAATAGGACACACTGCAACAGGACCAAGAACAGGACACACTGCAACAGGACCAAGAACAGGACACACTGCAACAGGACTGATCAGGTCACTGACAGGTTTCATACAGGGATACAGCTGTCTGATCGGTACAAACTGCAGCAAGCTCTCTGATTAGTCGATACCTGCTCCTGGAAGCTGAGGGCCTGGTGGACGTCTCTTGGGAATCCATCCACGATGAACCCTCTGACCTCGGACTGACCAATCATCTGGTGCCTCAGTTCTGAGATGGTTTCCTCCTGCGAACAAATAGAGCATCCACCATTTCACACCAGAGGGAGACATTCAGGAAATAAGAAGAAGTATGGTGCCGCTCGGACTCAGGTGGTCTGGGTTTCAGTGAGGAGAGGGTTTGCTGAGGGGGTCTGGGTTTCAGTGAGGAGAGGGTTTGCTGAGGGGGTCTGGGTTTCAGTGAGGAGAGGGTTTGCTGAGGTGGTCTGGGTTTCAGTCAGGAGAGGGTTTGCTGAGGTTGTCTGGGTTTCAGTCAGGAGAGGGTTTGCTGAGGTTGTCTGGGTTTCAGTGAGGAGAGGGTTTGCTGAGGTGGTCTGGGTTTCAGTCAGGAGAGGGTTTGCTGAGGTTGTCTGGGTTTCAGTCAGGAGAGGGTTTGCTGAGGTGGTCTGGGTTTCAGTGAGGAGAGGGTTTGCTGAGGTGGTCTGGGTTTCAGTCAGGAGAGGGTTTGCTAAGGTGGTCTGGGTTTCAGTGAGGAGAGGGTTTGCTGAGGTTGTCTGTGTTTCAGTGAGGAGAGGGTTTGCTGAGGTGGTCTGGGGTTCAGTCAGGAGAGGGTTTGCTGAGGTGGTCTTGGTTTCAGTCAGGAGAGGGTTTGCTGAGGTGGTCTGGTTTTCAGTGAGGAGAGGGTTTGCTGAGGTGGTCTGGGGTTCAGTCAGGAGAGGGTTTGATGAGGTGGTCTGGGTTTCAGTGAGGAGAGGGTTTGATGAGGTGGTCTGGGTTTCAGTGAGGAGAGGGTTTGCTGAGGTGGTCTGTGTTTCAGTGAGGAGAGGGTTTGCTGAGGTGGTCTGTGTTTCAGTGAGGAGAGGGTTTGCTGAGGTGGTCTGTGTTTCAGTGAGGAGAGGGTTTGCTGAGGTGGTCTGGGTTTCAGTGAGGAGAGGGTTTGCTGAGGTGGTCTGGGTTTCAGTGAGGAGAGTGTTTGCTGAGGTGGTCTGGGGTTCAGTCAGGAGAGGGTTTGCTGAGGTGGTCTTGGTTTCAGTCAGGAGAGGGTTTGCTGAGGTGGTCTGAGTTTCAGTGAGGAGAGGGTTTGCTGAGGTGGTCTTGGATTCAGTCAGGAGATGGTTTGCTGAGGTGGTCTGGGTTTCAGTGAGGAGAGGGTTTGATGAGGTGGTCTGGATTTCAGTGGGGAGAGGGTTTGCTGAGGGGGTCTGGGTTTCAGTGAGGAGAGGGTTTGCTGAGGTGGTCTGGGTTTCAGTCAGGAGAGGGTTTGCTGAGGTTGTCTGGGTTTCAGTCAGGAGAGGGTTTGCTGAGGTTGTCTGGGTTTCAGTGAGGAGAGGGTTTGCTGAGGTGGTCTGGGTTTCAGTCAGGAGAGGGTTTGCTGAGGTTGTCTGGGTTTCAGTCAGGAGAGGGTTTGCTGAGGTGGTCTGGGTTTCAGTGAGGAGAGGGTTTGCTGAGGTGGTCTTGGTTTCAGTCAGGAGAGGGTTTGATGAGGTGGTCTGGGTTTCAGTGAGGAGAGGGTTTGCTAAGGTGGTCTGTGTTTCAGTCAGGAGGAGGGTTTGCTGAGGTGGTCTGTGTTTCAGTGAGGAGAGGGTTTGCTGAGGTGGTCTGTGTTTCAGTGAGGAGAGGGTTTGCTGAGGTGGTCTGGGGTTCAGTCAGGAGAGGGTTTGCTGAGGTGGTCTTGGTTTCAGTCAGGAGAGGGTTTGCTGAGGTGGTCTGGTTTTCAGTGAGGAGAGGGTTTGCTGAGGTGGTCTGGGGTTCAGTCAGGAGAGGGTTTGCTGAGGTGGTCTGTGTTTCAGTGAGGAGAGGGTTTGCTGAGGTGGTCTGGGTTTCAGTGAGGAGAGGGTTTGCTGAGGTGGTCTGGGTTTCAGTGAGGAGAGTGTTTGCTGAGGTGGTCTGGGGTTCAGTCAGGAGAGGGTTTGCTGAGGTGGTCTTGGTTTCAGTCAGGAGAGGGTTTGCTGAGGTGGTCTGAGTTTCAGTGAGGAGAGGGTTTGCTGAGGTGGTCTTGGTTTCAGTCAGGAGATGGTTTGCTGAGGTGGTCTGGGTTTCAGTGAGGAGAGGGTTTGATGAGGTGGTCTGGGTTTCAGTGAGGAGAGGGTTTGCTAAGGTGGTCTGTGTTTCAGTCAGGAGGAGGGTTTGCTGAGGTGGTCTGGGTTTCAGTGAGGAGAGGGTTTGCTGAGGTTGTCTGGGTTTCAGTGAGGAGAGGGTTTGCTGAGGTGGTCTGTGTTTCAGTGAGGAGGAGGGTTTGCTGAGGTGGTCTGTGTTTCAGTGAGGAGAGGGTTTTCTGAGGTGGTCTGGGTTTCAGTGAGGAGAGGGTTTGCTGATGTGGTCTGGGTTTCAGTGAGGTGAGGGTTTGCTGAGGTGGTCTGGGTTTCAGTCAGGAGAGGGTTTGCTAAGGTGGTCTGTGTTTCAGTCAGGAGAAGGGTTTGCTGAGGTGGTCTGGGTTTCAGTCAGGAGAGGGTTTGCTGAGGTGGTCTGGGTTTCAGTCAAGAGAGGGTTTGCTGAGGTGGTCTGGGTTTCAGTGAGGAGAGGGTTTGCTGAGGTGGTTTGGGTTTCAGTGAGGAGAGGGTTTGCTGAGGTGGTCTGGGATTCAGTCAGGAGGAGGGTTTGCTGAGGTGGTCTGGGTTTCAGTGAGGAGAGGGTTTGCTGAGGTGGTCTGGGATTCAGTCAGGAGGAGGGTTTGCTGAGGTGGTCTGGGTTTCAGTCAGGAGGAGGGTTTGCTGAGGTGGTCTGTGTTTCAGTGAGGAGAGGGTTTGCTGAGGTGGTCTGGGTTTCAGTGAGGAGAGGGTTTGCTGAGGTGGTCTGTGTTTCAGTGAGGAGAGGGTTTGCTGAGGTGGTCTGGGTTTCAGTCAGGAGAGGGTTTGCTAAGGTGGTCTGTGTTTCAGTGAGGAGAGGGTTTGCTGAGGTGGTCTGGGTTTCAGTCAGGAGGAGGGTTTGCTGAGGTGGTCTGTGTTTCAGTGAGGAGAGGGTTTGCTGAGGTGGTCTGGGTTTCAGTTAGGAGAGGGTTTGCTAAGGTGGTCTGTGTTTCAGTGAGGAGAGGGTTTGCTGAGGTGGTCTGGGTTTCAGTCAGGAGGAGGGTTTGCTGAGGTGGTCTGTGTTTCAGTGAGGAGAGGGTTTTCTGAGGTGGTCTGGGTTTCAGTGAGGAGAGGGTTTGCTGATGTGGTCTGGGTTTCAGTGAGGTGAGGGTTTGCTGAGGTGGTCTGGGTTTCAGTCAGGAGAGGGTTTGCTAAGGTGGTCTGTGTTTCAGTCAGGAGAAGGGTTTGCTGAGGTGGTCTGGGTTTCAGTCAGGAGAGGGTTTGCTGAGGTGGTCTGGGTTTCAGTCAAGAGAGGGTTTGCTGAGGTGGTCTGGGTTTCAGTGAGGAGAGGGTTTGCTGAGGTGGTTTGGGTTTCAGTGAGGAGAGGGTTTGCTGAGGTGGTCTGGGATTCAGTCAGGAGGAGGGTTTGCTGAGGTGGTCTGGGTTTCAGTGAGGAGAGGGTTTGCTGAGGTGGTCTGGGATTCAGTCAGGAGGAGGGTTTGCTGAGGTGGTCTGGGTTTCAGTCAGGAGGAGGGTTTGCTGAGGTGGTCTGTGTTTCAGTGAGGAGAGGGTTTGCTGAGGTGGTCTGGGTTTCAGTGAGGAGAGGGTTTGCTGAGGTGGTCTGGGTTTCAGTGAGGAGAGGGTTTGCTGAGGTGGTCTGGGTTTCAGTTAGGAGGAGGGTTTGCTGAGGTGGTCTGGGTTTCAGTGAGGAGAGGGTTTGCTGAGGTGGTCTGGGTTTCAGTCAGGAGGAGGGTTTGCTGAGGTGGTCTGTGTTTCAGTGAGGAGAGGGTTTGCTGAGGTGGTCTGTGTTTCAGTGAGGAGAGGGTTTGCTGAGGTGGTCTGGGTTTCAGTCAGGAGAGGATTTGCTGAGGTGGTCTGTGTTTCAGTGAGGTGAGGATTTGCTGAGGTGGTCTGTGTTTCAGTGAGGTGAGGATTTGCTGAGGTGGTCTGTGTTTCAGTGAGGTGAGGATTTGCTGAGGTGGTCTGGGTTTCAGTGAGGAGAGGTTTTGCTGAGGTGGTCTGGGATTCAGTCAGGTGTGGGTTTGCTGAGGTGGTCTGGGTTTCAGTCAGGTGTGGGTTTGCTGAGGTGGTCTGGGATTCAGTGAGGAGAGGGTTTGCTGAGGTGGTCTGGGATTCAGTCATGTGTGGGTTTGCTGAGGTGTTTTGGGATTCAGTCAGGAGGAGGGTTTGCTGAGGTGGTCTGGGTTTCAGTGAGGAGAGGGTTTGCTGAGGTGGTCTGGGTTTCAGTCAGGAGGGTTTGCTGAGATGGTCTGGGTTTCAGTCAAACCTGCAGGCCCAGTTCTCCGTGGCCCATCATCTCCGATATCACCTCCCACTTCCTGCCGGGGGAGGCGTGGCTCAGCATTTGCCTCCTCAGCAGCTCGTCCAATGAGAGGACTCTGAATCTGAAGCGCTGAGCGAGCCTCGCCGCCTGGCTTCCCTTCCCGCTTCCTGGACCGCCTGGTGGGAAGAAAAGATCATACAGTATGACACCCTCACAAAACATCACCCCCCACCTGTCACATCCTACTGTCTGATAACCGCATAAAACACCCGGAAATGAGAAGGAGGAAGAGCACCTGAAGGGGAAGGTGACCCTGAGGTCAGGGGTTCATCCTTTATTCTTAAAATCAGTGGAGAGGATTACAGTCTTGCAAAACAAGAAGCACATTCGACCAGGAAGACACAACCTTGAAGAAAACAGAATCATATAAGTACATCAGGTTTCATAGAGCCAAACATTTCAAGTGCTACTCAACTGGCTTTAGATAAGCCAGTCCTTTGTTAGTATAAAAGTGCTTTGTTAATAGTTCTAACGCTCGAAGTGGAGTCGAAAGAGATGTACACACTGCTCCACCATTTTAGATGACGTCGCTCCCATGGTGACACGCAGCTCCCTAGCTGTAAACACATCCCCTGGTTAACAGAGGACACCCGTATACTGAAACGGCTTTGTCGCAAAGTTGAGCGGCTGTGGAAAACCACAAATCTCCAGGTACACCGTCTCCATCTGAAGGACCTTTACTGTGATAACAACAATTTGGTCAAAAATGCCCGGGCTACCTATTTTTCTAATCTCATCTCCTCTAGTAAGCACAACCCCAGAGTACTATTTAAAACCATAAATACCATTGTAAACCCGTCCACCCCCTCAGTTCCTATTTATTCAAACGACGACTGCGACCGTTTTCTCACCTTTTTTATAAACAAGGTAGCTGATGTGAGGTCGAGCATCACCCAGGGCCACTCCCCCCTCCCTATCTGTCCAGGCAGGCCACGCTGAGTCATTTCTCCTGCATCACCATAGCCGACCTGACCTCTGTAGTGAGCACTATGAAATCTTCCTCAAGCCCTCTGGATGCTTGACCAACGTCCATGCTAAAATAAGTTTTTTCATGTGTCGCTCCACCCTTGCTCCACATTATAAACATCTCCATTGTATTGTCTCTGGCTCCGTCCCATCATTTTTTAAGCAGGCGGTTGTTCAGCCCCTTCTCAAAAAACCCAATCTAGATCCCTCCCTCCCGAATAATTACAGGCCCATCTCAAAGCTCCCATTTGTGTCAAAAGTTTTAGAAAAAGTTGTTGCTAATCAACTCAATACATTTCTGAATGACAATAAAATCCATGAGAAATCCCAATCAGGTTTCAGAAAACACCACTCCACAGAATCAGCTCTCCTCAGGGTCTCCAATGACCTCATGATGGCATCGGATGCAGGCGATTGCGTGGTTCTGGTGTTGTTGGAACTGAGTGCAGCGTTTGACACAGTGGACCACGCCATCATGCTAGATAGACTCAGGGAGTGGGTAGGCATCTCAGGGTCTGCCCTCCAGTGGTTTGCCTCGTACCTCAGTGGGAGAAGTTTCTCCGTGGCGGTGGGCCCGTTCTCATCACACAGCACTCCCCTATCCTGCGGCCTGCCCCAGGGTTCTGTTTTAGCCCCCCTTCTCTTTGCCCTGTACATGCTCCCATTAAGCCGCGTAATTAGCCAATTTGAGGGTGTCTCGTATCACTGCTACGCGGATTATATACAGATATACTTCTCCTTCAAACCTGTCAAAATGGAAAAAGTAAACACCCTCATCACATGTCTGTCTGCAATTGAGGAGTGGATGTCAAGCAACTTCCTACAGCTCAATGCATCGAAAACGGAAGTCTTGATCTTAGCGGCTGATAACATCGCCTCTAAGCTAACAAGCCACCTGGGTTCATTCCGTGGTAACATAAGGGCAAACATCAAAAACCTTGGTGTAATTTTCGATCACTCAATGCTTGGTAAATATTCTCCTCAACAACCATAGCTCTTGATTAACCTTCATCTTAAACTCCAGGTTGGACCCTTCCGAGCATTTCCTCTCAGGTTCTGTTTGCTCCAGAACCATGTGATGCTAACTACCTGAAGCCCACCTGTTTCCCCCGGCGTCTCTTACCGATGATGAAGACGATGAGGGGCGGCATGCTCACTTCCTGCAGGAGTCCAACACTCTCCGTCATGTCCGAGTCGGAGTCTATGGAGAGCCGAGAGCGGACCAGAGGAGGACCTGGGAGGGGTTCAGGAGCTGTTTTGGGTCCTGGTGGGGTTTCACTTCTGCCAGAAAACACCTGGGGGGGCAGGACAGGTGGGACAGAGGCTCTGAGGTTCATGGAGGGGCAGCCTTTAGCTGGTGGCGCTCCTGTGGACGTCAGAGATATTAACAGAGGGGAAGGAGGGCACCTTTGGGGCATCAGGGGTTTTACCTGAGGTACAGGTGTTGTTTGGGGTATCAGGGTTTTTACCTGAGGTACAGGTGTTGTTTGGGGTATGGGGGGTTTTACCTGAGGTACAGGTGTTGTTTGGAGTATGGGTTTTTTTGGCTGGGGTACAATAGTTGTTTGGGTTATGGTTTTTCCCCCTTGGGGAACAGGTGTTGTTTGGGGTATGGGGGGTTTTCCTTGGGGAACAGGTGTTGTTTGGAGTATGGGTTTTTTTCCTTGGGGAACAGGTGTTGTTTGGAGTATGGGGGGTTTTCCTTGGGGAACAGGTGTTGTTTGGAGTATGGGTTTTTTTCCTTGGGGAACAGGTGTTGTTTGGGGTATCGGGGGGTTTATTGGACGTGCAGGTGGGGTTCTGGGGGGTATAGATGCTGTTTTTGGGGGTGTTGATGTGGTTTCTGGGGGTCCGGGGCCCAGCAGGTGGATGAAGGTGTCCCAAGTGACAGCCCCGGCCCCCCCCAGCTCAGTGGTTCTGGTCAGGCAGCACTTCAGGAAGCTGACAGGGTCTTGGGGACGGTTGTACAGCAGACCCGTCAGCAGACTCTGAAACACACACACAGTATTTTATAGTATTATGTCTCTGTTTCACTGCCCCCCCCCCCCCCCAGGTCATATTAACACGCCACCTGAGTCGGCCATATTTAGAGCAACAGCTGCTCACGCTGTCCACTGCCATCTCGTTAAGAGCTGTTACCATGGAAACACCACAACAAATCTCAGAGTCTGAGCATCCTCCGTCTGACGCTAACATGCTAACACGCTAACACGCTAACACAGTCAGGGTTTGATAGCCTCCACTCAGTTTAAACATCTGATTCTAATTAGATTTAAAACAGAAACTGTAATATGTCAGTTTGGAAGTAATCAGATTACTCTTCAAACTGTCTCACCTCCAGCAGCTGAGGGAGGTGATGGTGAGACAGGTACTCCGTCACCTGTCTGCTGCTCATCATCTTCTTCTTCTTCTTCTTCTTCTTCTTCTTCTTCTTCTTCTTCTTCTTCTTCTTCTTCTTCTTCTTCTTCTTCTTCTTCTTCTTCTTCTTCTTCTTCTTCTTCTTCTTCTCCTTCTTCGGGTCTTCTTCTTCTTTTCTTCTTCTTCTTCTTCTTCTTCTTCTTC